AGGAACTAGCTAATCAAATAAATGGTGGGCTGGGTTAAAAGGGTGTCTCTGAGCAAAGAGCTGCTTCCAGCACTGTGCCCCCACCCCCAGCCTTGGGATGATCACACTAGTGTCACCAGCAAGCAGTGCAGGGCTGGGAGTGTGGAGTTGTCATGCCTGGGATGCATTTTGGGGAGGGACACAGCCACAACATTAGCAAGGCTCACCTAGAAGACTATAGAATCCTAGTTTGGGTTGGAAGAGACCTTCAAAGGTCATCTAGCCCAACACCCTGCAGTGAGCAGTGACAGCTTCAACTAGATCAGGTTGCTCCAAGCCCCATCCAAGCTGGCCTTGAATGTCTCCAGGGATGGGGCATCTACCACCTCATTGAACAATGTGTGCCAGTGCCTCATCACTCACTTGTAAGAAACTTGTATGTAAGCTTCAGTCCACATTCCTTCAGCTTAAAACCATTACCCCTTGTCCTGTGTCTGAGCCTACTGGTCTAGAGACAGGTCTCCAAAACCATGCAAGGAAAAGGAGAGAACTGCTCCCAAGTGTAGGCTGAAAATTAGGTGGAGGCATCCAAGTGTGGATGTCTTGGGACAATTTTCAAACAGGACACCAGGAGCAAGGGAGTGATTTGAGGACACTGGGAAGTATACCAAAGGGACTGAGAACCAGGAGCTGAAACTTGCCCCTTGGGTCAAATATGTATGTCTTTAGGAGTAGACTTGAAAGGAGACATTCAGCTGGACCACGTGTGTGCCACGTGCACGCGTGTGCTATGTATGTGCCACCCTGCACATTCTGCTGGCAGCCTGCAGGGACCAGAAACAAAGTTCTCTCCTTTGCTCTGAGCTCCAGCAGCTGAGCTGCTGGGTTATTTGATCCTCCTGCAGATTGCTGTGGTTGGAGGCAGAACACAGGGCACTGTGTTCTCAGGGATACTGAAGTAATTTAAGCATCCCTGCTAGGGCTGGGGTTTTAAACTAATCACTAGGCTTGGGCTTCAGGGAAGTTCTCCAGGCCAGAGGGGCAGGAAAGGGACATGGAAGAGAGAGCACAGCCTAAACACGTCTGAGGGTTTAACCCAGTCCCACAAGGATCAGTTACTGGTGATGCTCTCCAGCCTCTGAGGTACTCGGGAGCCTTCATGGCTCATGCTGGAATGGTGACAGCAGCCTTGACACTACTCAAAGTGCTTCATTTCCAGTGGGTGGGAGACATTAGCAACAGAGTTCAGCAAAGCAAAAGGGTGAAAAATTTCAAAGCTTGCCCACCCTCCCAGCAGGGCAAACTCCTATTCTCCTCTCACAGTCCTTTATCCCTCCTGGTTGTCTCCATCCTGCAAGAATACCTTTTCATAGTGTCATAGAATCACAGACTGGTTTGGGTTGGAAAGGACCTTAAAGCTCATCTCATCCCCCCCCCTGCCATGGGCAGGGACACCTTCCACTAGCCCAGGTTGCTCCAACCCCCGTTTGACCTGGTCTTAACATCCTATTCTCCTCTCACAGTCCTTTATCCCTCCTGGTTGTCTCCATCCTGCAAGAATACCTTTTCATAGTGTCATAGAATCACAGACTGGTTTGGGTTGGAAAGGACCTTAAAGCTCATCTCATCCCCCCCCCTGCCATGGGCAGGGACACCTTCCACTAGCCCAGGTTGCTCCAACCCCCGTTTGACCTGGTCTTAACATTTCCAGGGATGGAACAGCCACCTCTTGGAAAGGAAACATGTGCCAGTGCCTCACCACCCTCACAGGGAAGCATTTCTTCCCAATATCCCATCTATCCCTGCCCTCTGCCAGTGAGAAGCCACTCCGTGTCCTGTCCCTCCAGGCCCTTGTGCAAAGTCCCTCTCCAGCTCTCTTGGAGCCTCTTTAGCACTAAAAGAGTGTCTAAGGCCTCCCCAGAGTCTTCCCCTCTCCCAGCTGAACACGACCAGCTCTTTCAGCCTGTTAGGACACAGCCCCCTGAGCATCATTTTGGCCAGCAAAGTCCTGTGCAGGGTAAGCACAGCCCCAAGCTGGCCCAGAACCAGGCAGAGGAGAGCAGGGCCAGGGGCTCAGCACTAGCATGTTCCCAGCATGGCTAATCCAATTACAAAACAAACTTCCTTCATTATCAGGGCCTGCTAAAGCAGCCCAGCAATTATAGAGGGCTTAGCAAGGGGCTAGAGATCAGGCCATGAATGACAGAGCTGTTTCACTCGCAGGGAGGAGGGACAGAGAACAGAGGCAGCTGGGAGGACATGGGGGATTGCTGGGACAAGTGGATTGAGAATGGCTACAAAGGTCTTTGGGCAACCTTCATGCTCCCAACAGGGTTAACCTCAAAGAATGCATCAGGTTGCTCAGGCCCTTGTCCCTCCTGGGGATTTAGCATCCTCATGAATGGGGATCCATGTCAGCTCTCTAGCCCTGCTGGATAGTTGCCCTCACCCTCCCCATTCCCAAACCACACTCACCTCAGCCATGGGATGGCAAAGGCAGCACTAAAATACCCTTGCAAGAGAGATGCAATTCATATTTTCTGGGGTCTTCTGCTCATCTCCCATCACCAAGGATGCAATGCACCAGCCAGACCTGGAATCATGTACTTTCTGTAGCCAGGACAAAGGGAAATAACCCCTTCCTTTCTTTGGCATTGGTGTAGGCACACCTGGATACTGTGACCAGTTCTGGACCCCAAGTACAAGGACAGAGTTCTGCTGAGGATGGTCAGGGCCAGAGAACATGCTGTACAAGGAAATGCTTGAGGAGTTTGGCCTCTTTAGCCTGGAGAAGAGAGTGCTGAGGAGGGTTGCAGTGTCCACAATGAGGATCGGGAGCTGCTTTGCTGAAGCACTTGGACACACAGCCCAGCTGCAGAGCAGTCCTGCTGGTCCATGACTGGTCCTGGAGAGCTGGTGCAATGCACACAGGTCTCACTCCTCTCATGCCTGTGCTCAGCAGGGATGCTCCTGAGACAGAGCTAGGCTGCTGGGCAGGATTTCACCAGTCAGCATCAGCTGCCAAGCAGTTTCTCGAGAAATAAGCCCCACCCTGCGTGGGGAGGCTCTCCTGTGCCTCCACAGTTGTGAGAAGCCTCTGCCTTCCCAGCCACAGCACAGAGAAGGCAGAGGATCTGCTGAAATGAGCAATGCACAGCAGGGCTGTTAATGGCACTCCAAACCTTTTAAATGCAGCATGGGTGATCCAAGAGCATCTCTCTGCAGATTTCTGCATGCCCTGCAGGTTGAGAAAAGCCCTCCTGCTGGAGTCATCTCCGTCCCTGCTGGGATGGAGAGAGGCAGGCAGAGCTGGCAGCAGCCAAGTGTGCTGTAAGGAGACACCGGGCGCCCGACCAGCTCAGTCCGCTGCCTTTTAAGGAGCGGCAGACGCTGAGGCATCTTGGAACGAGCCACCACAGTCCTGCAGGCTCCCAACCACACTGTGCCCTCAGACCACACTGGCCATGCCCAGTGGTCCCAGAGCAGCTCAGAGCTGTGATGGACAGCCATCCCCACAGCTACACATGGAGTCTGGAAAACCCCAGAACCCGCAACAGCAGAACGGGGTTCCAGCTGTGGCTGCAGTGCTCACCCATGTAAGGACCCCAAGGGCCCATCCATCACTTCCATCCCCACCAGCAACCAGCAGGACCAGCTTCTTCCTGGCAGCAGGCAGAGGGGAGGAGGATGCTTTGTCACAAAGCCTTCACCAAGCCACTGCCAATTCATCCTACAGATGCCCGAGCACTTTGCTCTGCCAATGGAAAAGGTTTTGCTGGTCCAGCAATGAATTTGCTGCTGCCATCCCTATCCAGGGAGCAGAGGGGAAGGGGAACACACTGTAGGAGACTTAGAGCAGGACAGAGCTTAGGCTGAAGTACAGATGGAGGAAATGTATGTGTGTGGGAACAGGAGCAACACCAGGAACACAGCTAAAAGGTAAGGTATGCATGAAACAGTACAGAGCATCAGGCAGAGCTTCAGCCAAAAGAAAAGGAGCAAGCTGGCCCAAAGACAGGGTGTCAGGAAGACAAAGAACAGCACTGGAGCCAGTAAATACACACTGGAGGAGATGGGAGATCTGTGAAATTCAGGCATTTTGCCTAAGACTTACGAGGGGTGAAGGAAAACAAGGAGGTAAAGGGTCCCAAAGAGCACCTCCTTCTACAAGGAGTAACAGGCAAGTTCCAAATCAGCTCATTGTTACCTACGAAGAGTCTCAAAGACGTGGCAAGGACGTGACCACCTCATCCCTTGTGTCTCAGAGGAGTGAGCTAGCTGCACAGCTCAGGCACACAGGTCTCAAGACAACAGGAAAAATCAATTCACTTAGAGCTTCTGTGTAACAAAATCCCTCTCCCCACCATCCTGCCACACGGATCCTCACGCATGGTGGGATGTGGGCACACAGTCCCATGGAGCAGAAGGAACCATGCACCGCTTTATTCGGCAGTGGTGCTGCACGCGGCCGAGGCCGCTCACTATTTACATTGGCAAAAGATGGCAGTGAGTACCGAGCACCTGTGCATGTGAGGACCAGCCTGCCTGGCCCCCCCTGCACCTCACTCACCCCGGGCAGGCCCTGCTCACCCCTGCCAGCACCCTCACCTGCGGGCACAGCCGTTTTGTCTCTCCTGGGCAGAGCCAGGCACCCTCACAGAGGCACCTGAAGCCTGCTAACGGACGATTCATCCCCATATATCCCACACACTGTCCCCCTCCCCGACCATTCCAAGGTCCCAGCTCCAGTCCTTGCATCCTGGAGGCAGGCGAGGGCAGCGAGCAGCCAGCAAACCCCACTCAGCCCCTCGCACAGGGGGTCCCTCCGGTGCCATCCCAGCGGGCAAACCAGTGCAGGGGAGCCCCCCGAGAGGGCAGGACGAGGGGTCCAGCGGCAGCAATCCCCAACAGTGCTGGCCGTG